ACTGGTCCTTGCCTTAAGTGATGACATTATCTTGTGAAATTCCTTTTCCTGGATCATCCTGGCTCAAAAAGCTCCCCCACTGAGCACCTTGTGACCCCCACCCCTGCCCACCAGCGAACAACCCCCCTTTGACTGTAATTTTCCTTTACCTACCCAAATCCTATAAAATGGCCCCACCCCTATCTCCTTTCACTGACTCTTTTTGGACTCAGCCCGCCTGCACCCAGGTGATTAAAAAGCTTTATTGCTCACACAAAGCCTGTTTGGTAGTCTCTTCACACGGACGCACGTGACACTTAGGGAGACCGGTCCCCTGTCGTCGCCCTCACTCCGTGAGGAGATCCACCTATGACCTCGGGTCCTCAGACCAACCAGCCCAAGGAACATCTCACCAATTTCAAATGAGATAAGCGGTCTTTTCACTCTTCTCCAGCCTCTCTCGCTACCCTTCAATCTCCCTGCCTCTCCAATTCCAGTTCTTTTTCCTCTCTAGTAGAGACAAAGGAGACACATTTTATCCATGGACCCAAAACCCTGGTGCTGGTCACGGACTCAGGAAGATAGTCTTCCTTTGGTGTTTAATCACTGCAGGGATGTCTGCCTGATTATTCACCCACATTTCATTGGTGTCTGATCACCATGGGGATGTCTGCCTCGATCATTCACCCACATTCCCTTGGTGGCAAGTCAATTGCGGGGATGCCTGCTTTGGCTGCTCACCCACATTGCAGCCCAGGGCTGCTCACCCACCCTCTTCTCTGTGTCTCTACCTTTCTCTTTAAACTTACCTCCTTCACTATGGGCAACCTACTGCCCACCATTCCCACCTCCTTCACTATGGGCAACCTACTGCCCACCATTCCCCCTTCTTCTCCTTTAGCCTGTGTTCTCAAGAACTTAAAATCTCTTCAACTCACACCTGACCTAGAACTTAAATGCCTTATTTTCTTCTGCAATACCGCTTGGCCCCAATACAAACTCGACAGTAGTTCTAAGTGGCCAGAGAATGGCACTTCCGATTTGTCTATCCTACAAGATCTAGATAATGTTTGTTGAAAAATGGGCAAATGGTCTGAGGTGTCTGACATCTAGGCATTCTTTTACACATCGGTCCCTCCCTAGTCTCTGCTCCCAATGCAACTCGTCCCAAATCTTTCTTCTTTCTCTCCTGTCTGTTCCTTCAGTTTCCACCCCAAGCTCTGAGTCCTTTGAATCCTTCTTTTCTACGGAATCATCTGACCTCTTCCCTTCTCCCCAGGCTGCTCCTTGCCAGGCCAAGCCAGGTCCCAATTCTTCCTCAGCCTTTGCTCCCCCACCCTGTAATCCTTCTATCACCTCCCCTCCTAACACCTGGTGTGGCTTACAGTTTTGTTCCGTGACTAGCCCTCCCCCACCTGCCCAACAATTTCCTCTTAAAGAGGTGGTTGGAGCTAAAGGCATAGTCAAGGTTGATGCTCCTTTTTTCTTTATCTGACCTCTCCCAAATCAGTTAGCATTTACGCTGTTTTTCATCAAATATAAAAACCCAGCCCAGTTCATGGCCCATTTGGCAACAACCCTTAGACACTTTACTGTCCTAGACCCCAGAGGAAGGCCATCTTATTCTCAATATGCATTTTATTACCCAATTCACTCCCAACATTAGAAAAAGCGCCAAAAATTAGATTCTGGCCCCACAACAAGACCTAATTAAGCTCACCTTCAAGGTGTACAATAATAGAGAAGAGGCAGTCAAGTAGCAACATATTTCTGAGTTGCAATTAACTTGCCTCCACTGTGAGAGAAACCCCAGCCACATCTCCAGCACACAAGAACCTCAAAATGTCTGAACCGCAGGGGCCAGGCATTCCTCCAGGACCGCCTCCCCAAAGATCTGGCTTCAAGTGCTGGAAATCTGGCTACTAGGCCAAGGAATGCCCGCAGCCTGGGATTCCTCCTAAGCCATGTCCCATCTGTGTGGGACCCCACTGGAAATCGGACTGTCCAACCCAGCAGCCACTCCCAGAGCCCCTGGAGCTCTGGCCCAGGGCTCTCTGACTGACTCTTTCCCAGATCTTCTCGACTTAGCAGCTGAAGACTGATGCTGCCCCATCACCTCGGCAGCTTCTTGGACCATCACAGACACTTTGGGTAACTCTTACAGTGGATGGTAAGTCCATCCCCTTCTTAATCAATATGGAGGCTACCCACTCCACATTACCTTCTTTTCAAGGGCCTGTTTCCCTTGCCTCCATAACTGTTGTGAGTATTGATGGCCAAGCTTCAAAACCCCTTAAAACTCCCCAACTCTGGTGCCAACTTGGACAACATTCTTTTATGCACTCTTTTTTAGTTATCCCCACCTGCCCAGTTCCCTTATTAGGCTGAGACATTTTAACCAAATTATCTGCTTCCCTGATTATTCCTGGGCTACAGCCACACCTCATTGCCACCTTTTCCCCCAGTTCAAAGCCTCCTTCACATCCTCTCTTTGTATCTCCCCACCTTAATCCACAAGTATAGGACACCTCTACTCCCTCCTTAGTGACTGATCATGCATCCCTTACCATCCCGTTAAAACCTAGTCACCCTTACCCCACTCAATGCCAATATCCCATCCTATAGCATGCTTTAAAAGGATTAAAGCCTGTTATCACTCACCTGTTACAGCATGGCCTTTTAAAGCCTATACACTCTCCTCACAATTCCATTTTACCTGTCGAAAAACCAGACAAGTCTTACAGGTTAGTTCAGGATCTGTGCCTTATCAACCAAATTGTCTAGCCTATCCACCCCACGGTGCCAAACCCATATACTGTCCTATCCTCAATACCTCCCTCCACAACCCATTCTGTTCTAGATAAACCTAGCTGACCCCATAAATCCTAAATCCTTTCCTCACTCCCCTTTCCATTCCTTAAAACACAGCCCTAAAAGCTGCTCCCGCACTAGCTCTCCCTAACTCATCCCAACCCTTTTCATTACACACAGCCGAAGTACAGGGCTGTGCGGTCAGAATTCTTACACAAGAGCCGGGACTGCGTGCTGTAGCCTTTCTGTCAAAACAACTTGACCTTACTGTTTTAACCTAGCCCTCATGTCTGTGTGCGGTGGCTGCCGCTGCCTTAATACTTCCAGAGGCCCTCAAAATCACAAGCTATGCTCCACTTACTCTCTACAGTTCCCATAACTTTCAAAATCTATTTTCCTCCTCACACTTGACGCATACACTTTCTGCCCCCCCCAGCTCCTTCAGCTATACTCAGTCTTTGTTGAGTCTCCCTCAATTACCATTGTTCCTGGCCCAGACTTCAATCTGGCCTCCCACATTATTCTGGATACCACACCTGACCCCCATGACTGTATCTCTCTGATTCATCATCCTCCATTTCCCCATATTTCCTTCTTTCCTGTTCCTCACCCTGATCACACTTGGTTTATTGATGGCAGTTCCACCAGGCCTAATCGCCACTCACCAGCAAAGGCACGCTATGCTATAGTATCTTCCACATCTATCATTGAGGCTACTGCTCTGCCCCCTCCACTACCTCTCAGCAAGCCAAACTCATTGCCTTAACTCGGGCCCTCACTCTTGCAAAGGGACTATGTATCAATATTTATACTAACTCTAAATATGCCTTCCATATCCTGCACCACCATGCTGTTATATGGGCAGAAATAAATTTCCTCACTATGCTAGGGTCCTCCATCATTTATGCCTCTTTAATAAAAACTCTTCTTAAAATCACTGTACTTCCAAAGGAAGCTGGAGTCATTCACTGCAAGGGCCATCAAAAGGCATCAGATCCCATCGCTCAGGGCAACACTTACGCTGATAAGGTAGCTAAAGAAGCAGCTAGTGTTCCAACTTCTGTCCCTCATGACAGTTTTTCTTCTTCTCATTGGTCACTCCTATTTACTTTCCTACTGAAGTTTCCACCTATCAATCTCTTCCCACACAAGGCAAATTGTTCTTGGACCAAGGGAAAAATCTGCTTACATCCTCACAGGCCCATTCTATTCTGTCGTCATTTCATAACCTCTTCCATGTAGGTTACAAGCTGTTAGCCTGCCTCTTAAAACCTCTCATTTACTTTCCATTGTGAATATCTATCCCCAATCCTCCACTCTTGACTCCCTCTTGGAGTGGATAGATGATCTTTGCTGACAGGACACACTCCAACACTCTCTCCCTGATGAAGTCCTATTCTTCACTTTTATACTCATTCTTATCCTCATTCCTGTTCTTATGCCACCCTCTACCTCTCCCCAGCTATCTCCACCACACTATCAATCTCACTCACTCTTCCTAGCCTTTTCTGATCTTTCTTTAACAAACAATTGCTGGCTTTGCATTTCTATTTCCTCCAAAATCCCTGAGGCCTCAACACACTGCTGAAAAATGAGGACTCTGTGTGTGTGTGTGTGTGTGTATATATACATATATATATATATATATATATATATATATATATAAACAGAGTCTCGCTCTGTCACCCAGGCTAGAATACAGTGGCGTGATCTCGGCTCACTGCAAGCTCTGCCTCCCAGGTTCACGCCATTCTCCTGCCTCAGCCTCCCGAGCAGCTGGGACTACAGGCGCCTGCCACCACACCGGGCTAATTTTATGTATTTTTTAGTAGAGACGGGGTTTCACCATGTTAGCCAGGATGGTCTCGATCTCCTGACCTCATGATCTGCCCGCCTCGGCCTCCCAAAGTACTGGGATTACAGGTGTGAGCCACCGCGCCTGGCCAACTCTGTATATTTTTAAATGAAGAGTGTTGTTTTCACCTAAATCAATCTGGCCTGGTATATGACAACATAAAAAAACTCAAGGATAGAGCCCCAAAACTCGCCAGCCAAGCAAATAATTATGCTGAACCCCCTTGGGCACTCTCTAATTGGATGTCCTGGGTCCTCCCAATTCTTAGTCCTTTAATACCTGTTTTTCTCCTTCTCTTATTTGGACTTTGTGTCTTCCTTTTGGTTTCTCAATTCATAAAAAACTGCATCCCAGATTTGAATCGTGGGACCCGTTGGCAGAGGTGGCGGCAGCGGCATGGGTTCCCCGATGTTGCCCCCTGCCTGGCAGCCCTTTCTCAAGGACCACCGCATCTCTACATTCAAGAACTGGCCCTTCTTGGAGGGCTGCGCCTGCACCCTGAAGCGGATGGCCGAGGCTGGCTTCATCCACTGCCCCACTGAGAACAAGCCAGACTTGGCCCAGTGTTTCTTCTGCTTCAAGGAGCTGGAAGGCTGGGAGCCAGATAACGACCCCATAGAGGAACATAAAAAGCATTCATCCGGTTGCGCTTTCCTTTCTGTCAAGAAACAGTTTGAAGAATTAACCCTTGGTGAATTTTTGGAACTGGACAGAGAAAGAGCCAAGAACAAAATTGCAAAGGAAACCAACCATAAGAAGAAAGAATTTGAGGAAACTGCAAAGAAAGTGTGCTGTGCCATCGAGCAGCTGGCTGCCATGGACTGAGGCCTCTGGCTGGAGCTGCCTGGTCCCAGAGTGGTTGCACCACTTCCAGGGTTTATTCCCTGGTGCCACCAGCCTTCCTGTGGGACCCTTAGCAATGCCTTGGGAAAGGAGAAGATCAATATTTTCCAATTAGATATTTCAGCTGTATCTTGTTTTGTCTCGAAAGTGGCACCAGAGGTGCTTCTACCTGAGCAGCGGGTACTGCTGATAACAGTGACTGCCTCTCTCTCTCTCTCTTTTTTTTTTTTTTTTTTTTTTGGCTTATTTTTGTCTTCCTGATTCCCGGACTTACGAGGTGAGAAGTTGGGGAGGAAGAAGGTGGTGTCCCTTTTGCTAGAACTGACGGCTTTGTTGGCGTGGGCAGAGCCTTCCACAGTGAATGTGTCTGGACCTCATATTGTTGAGGCTGTCACACAGTCCTGAGTGTGGACTTGGCAGGTGCCTGTTGAATCTGAGCTGCAGGTTCCTCATCTGTCACACCTGTGCTGCCTCAGAGGCCACTTTTTTTTTTTTTTTTTTTTGGTAGATGCATGACTTGTGTGTGATGAGGAGGGGAATGGAGACAGAGTCTCTGGCTCCTCTACTGTTTCACAACGTGTCTTTCTTATTTTGTTTGAATTGTTAATTCACACAATAGCACAAACTACAATTAAAACTAAGCACAAAGCCATTCTAAGTCATTGGGGAAAAAGGGTGAAATTCAGGTGGACGTGGAGACAGAATAGAGTGACAGGAAGCATCTGGCAGATACTCCTTTTGCCACTGCTGTGTGATTAGACAGGCCCAGTGAGCTACGGGGCACATGCTGGCTGCTCCTCCCTGAGAAAAAGGCAGTGGCCTGAATCCTTTTTAAATGACTTGGCTCGATGCTGTGTGGGACTGGCTGGGCTGCTGCAGGCCGTGTGTCTGTCAGCCTAACCTTCATATCTGTCACGTTCTCCACACGGGGGAGGGATGCAGTCCACCCAGGTCCCCGCTTTTTTTGGTGGCGGCAGCTCCCGCAGGGCTGAAGTCTGGTGTAAGATGATGGATTGGATTCGCCCTCCTCCCTGTCACAGAGCTGCAGGGTGGATTGTTACAGCGTTGTTGGAAACCTCTGGAGGTCATCTCAGCTGTTCCTGAGAAATAAAAAGCCTGTCATTTCAAACAAACAAAAAAAAAAAAACAGAAGAAAACTGCATCCCAGGCCATCACCAATCATTCTATACAACAAATGCTCCTTCTAACAGCCCCACAATATCACCCCTGACCCCAAAATCTTCCTTCAGCTTCATCTCTCCCACTCTGGGTTCCCACATTGCCCTTAATCCCACTCGAAGCAGCCCTGAGAAACATCGCCCATTATCTCTCCATACCACCCCCCAAAATTTTCACCGCCCCAACACTTCACCACTATTTTATTTTGTTTTTCTTATTACTATATGAAGACGGGAATGTCAGACCTCTGAGCCCAAGCTAAGCCATCATATCCCCTGTGACCTGCACGTATACATCCAGATGGCCTGAAGCAACTGAAGATCCACAAAAGAAGTGAAAATACTCTTAACTGATGACATTCCACCACTGTGATTTGTTCCTGCCCCACCCTAACTGATACATATGTTCTCCCCTGCCCTTAAGAAGGTACTTTGTAATATTCTCCCCCCGCCCCCCACCCTTAAGAAGGTACTTTGTAAGCCTATCCCAAACCTGTAAGAACTAATGATAATCCCACCACCCTTTGCTGACTCCTTTTTTGGACTCAGCCCGCCTGCATCCAGGTGAAATAAACAGCCTTGTTGCTCACACAAAGCCTGTTGGTGGACTCTCTTCACATGGACATGCGTGACAGTGGGGACAACTCAAAGCAGGGAGGGGGCTTCCAGGTCACAGGTAGGAGAGAGACAAACAGTTGCATTCTTTGAGCTTCTGATAAGCTTTTCCAAAGGAAGCAATACACATCTATTTCAGTGAGCAGGGGGATGACTGAATAGAACGGGAGGCAGGTTTGTCCTGAACAACTCCCAGCCTGACTTTTCCCTTAGCTTAGTAATTTTGGGGCCTCAATATTTTCCTTTCACACTTCTCTATGGCCCAGGCACTGCTGAGTTGGAGTCAGCCATTGTGACTCTTTTTTTTTTTTCTTGTAGAGATGGAATCTCACTGTTTGGCCCGGGCTTGTCTTGAACTCCTGGCCTCAAGCCATCCTCCTGCCTCAGCCTCCCAAAGTGCTGAAATTACAGGTGCGAAACACTGTGCCCTGCTTCCATTGTCACTTTAACTTCTTTCCAGTCTTTATGTCTCAGAATCCTCATTTGTAAAATAAAGTTAATAATAGAAGCCACCTGTAGAGCTGTTTGTGAGGATTAATGAATCAAAATGGATGAAGCACCTAGAACAGTTCATGGCTCAAAGTAAGGGCTTCATAAGGGCTTCATAAATGTTTAGCTATTTTTATGAGCAGGTCAAGAAAGAAGGCATTGGTCAACACAAACAGTTGTAGAGACACTGATTGTTAAATTGTAGCCGGAGGTAAGAGTTGACTTAAAAGGGAGAAGCCGAGGCAAAACTAATATAAGTAGAGAGCTTACTCAGGCCACATTTGAGGGCTGCAACCCAGAAGCATAGATTTAAGTTGCCTGAATATACACTCCAATTTGCAGTAGTTGCAAGTGAATTTTTAAAGGCAAAAAGAAGGAGACAGGGAGTGGGCTAAGACAAAGTTGTTGGTCAGGAATTCCCGTTGGTTTACAGAAATAACACTGATTAGCTATACACTGTGAAGCATTAGGGTGTGGGTTATGGTGTCCCATGTGGCATTATTAGATTAACTTATGGCTGCCTGTGGCAATAGCAAGCCATTTCAAGAAATGAATACATAGCTCAAAGCGGGGAGCAGGGCATGATTGTGAGACAGTCAAATGCCTGGGCATATAAAAAGAGATCCCTGGAGAATCTTCGACCTGCCCCACAAGTGTTTACATCAGATACTTTTGTGCAGATGAGGGAACCTGCCCAGGACCTTGTCTGAGCCTGCCCACATGCACCCTGGGGGAAGGGGCGGAGCCATGGGCAATGGGAGGAGCCTGGCCTCTTCAGTTCCTGTGTGGTGGCCTGGGATTCAATCTGTGAAGTGGGGGGCCTGTTAGCAGGACTCTATCTCGCTTTGCTGTTTTTTTCATTTTTCTCTTTTCACCCAATACAATCCTGCTCTACTCACCCTTTAATGTGCCTTCGTGCCTAAATGTTCCTGGTTGTGTGAAAAGAACCCATTTACAACTGAACCAAGGAGCAAAATTCTGCAACAGTTGCTGCCTCGTTTTAATGCCTTTCTGGGCCCAATAATTAAAAGGACCTGCGTTCCTCAGATAAAAGTTCTTTTCTTTTCTCATAACTTAATATTTTTCTCAGTTTTAAGAAGCCATAGGAAAGACGCATTTCTGTAGGAAGTAACTGCACCTATAGCCCAATCTGGATGCAGTTCTTTCCTTCTTCTAAGCCTTAGGGTATGTTTCCTCTATGGATGAAAAAAGTCAAACTCTGTAAAATATTTGAGGAGATTTATGCTGAGCCAAATAGGAGTGACCATGACCCATGACACAGCCCTCAGGAGGCCCTGAGAACATGCACCTGAGGTGGTAAGGGTGCAGCTTGGTTTTATACATTTTAGGGAGGCATGAGACTTCAATCCAATACATTTAAGAAATACATGGGTTTACTTCAGAAAGGAGGACAACTGGAAGCAAGGAGTGGGGAGTGGGGTGCAGGGGGTGGGGGAGGCTCCAGTCTATAGATAGATTTGAACATTTTTTGGTTAACAATTGGGTGAGTTTCTCTAAAGGCCTGGGATCAATAGAAAGGAAACCTTTGGGTTAAGATAAAGAATTGTGGAGACCAAAGTTCTTATTTGCAGAGGAAGCCTTCAGGTAGTAGGCTTCAGAGAGAATAGGTTGTAAAATATTTCTTATCAGACTTCAAGTCTATGTTGATGTTACTGCCAGAGAGGTATAATGAGGCACATCCGATACCCACTTCCTGTCAGGCCTGAACCAGTTTTTCAGATTAAATTTTAAGAGTGTTCTGGCCAAGGAGGAAGTCCCTTCAGATGGTTGGGGGGTGCTTAGAATTTTATTTTTGGTTTACACCTCGATTGTCTAGAACAGTGCTTCTTACACTTGAATGGTACATAAATCACCTGGGATTGTCATTAAAAAGCAGATTCTCTCTCAGTAGGTCTGGACACAGCTGAGATACAGCATTTCATCCAAGCTCCCAGGCGATATTCCTGCTGCTGGTTCACAAATACCGGTCCCAGGGACCCAGCACAGTCCGCAGAACTTCCGGTGATGACGGAAATCTCTGCCTGAGCCACTAATCAATCATATGTGACTACGGACCAATTGAAATGTGGCTATTGAAAACTGAAGTTTTCACTGCATTAAAATGAAGTATAGGCCGGGCGCAGTGGTTCATGCTTGTAATCTCAGCACTTTGGAAGGCCGAGGCAGGTGGATCACAAGATCAGGAGATCAAGACCATCCTGGCTAACATGGTGAAACCCCATCTCTACTAAAAATACAAAAAATTAGCCGGGCATGGTGGCGGGCACCTGTAGTCCAAGCTACTCTGGAGGCTGAGGCAGGAGAATGGCGTGAACCCAGAAGGCGGAGTTTGCAGTCAGCCAATGTCGCGTCACTGCTCTCCAGCCTGAGCGACAGAGCGAGACTCTGTCTCCAAAAATAAAAAAAAAATAAAATAAAACAAAGTATAAATAACTATATATGGCAAGTCGCTACCTTACTGGACAACACAGCTCTAGACTTATGCCCAGAAGGTCCAGCTCATAATCTGGTTTCTTGTTAGAGTCACAGAACAAACCATGTTCAGGACCACATATTACATCTTAGATAACAATGAGGACTCAGCAAAAAGGTGTGTACAGCTCTACCCAGACCATCTGCATAACCAGAGCATACAGTCAACACATGTGCTCTGATAATCTGTAAATGTCAGTAAAATAACTTTCCTATTTGCAGATAAACTTCCTGGTAGAGCTGTCTGATGGAGTTCTTTCCCTCACCTCTGGACCTGGGGCTAGAACCACTGTCGTAGTCTGTGTGTTTGTAAAGAAAAAATAAAAACCAGGTATTTAATTAACATTATTTCTGTGATCTCCTCAGCTCCATAATTTTTACTTCTCAATTGTTTTCTTTGCATGCGTTTAGGGCATGCCCTTGATACCCACCAACAACATAAAAACAGGCGTTCTCTGCACTTAAAAAATGGAAAGGTTGTAAAATTGAGACACATTAAAAGATCTTTATCTGACTACATTGTGAAATAATAATAAAAGAACTTGGAATGTTTGATATTCAGGAATTTTTCTCAGGTTGAAAATTATTTCCAAGTGTTTAGCTTTCTTCTGGGTTGTTCCAAATAATCTTTGTGGTTTCTTTTGGTTTTTGTTTTGTTTTGTTTCGTTTGAGACGGGGTCTTGCTCTGTTGCCCAGGCTGGAGTGCAGTGGCATGATCTTGGCTCACTGCAACCTCCACCTCCTGGGTTCAAGCGATTCTCCTGCCTCAGCTCCCCTTTTGTATTTTTAGTAGAGACAGGGTTTCGCCATGTTGGCCAAGCTGGTCTCAA